TACTAAACGTTTGTGTATAATACTGGGAAAAATCTTACTGAAAACACTCAAAAGAGTTATACCCCTATAGTTATTGGTGACATTAGTTGATCCCTGTTTGTGCAAAGGAATTATTATCCCCAGAGTCCACTGTTCTGGAAAATAAGTCTTTTCAAGCATAACGTTAAAAAGAATTTCAAGGTAGGGGAGGAGAATATCGGACGAATAATCAAAAAATTCAGGAATCAAATTATCTTCACCAGCTGCTTTATTGCTTTTTAAGTTTGCGATGCTTTCTGAAATTTCATTTCTTGTTATAGGTGAATCAAGAATATCTGAAGTTAACTGACAAAAAGAGTTATCAAATACATTCCATTCGTCGATATCAAAACATCTTTCCTCGTTCTCTGTAGAAGTTGAAAACAGATCCCTGAAATAGTTAAACCAATCATCAATTGGAATATTGTTTTGTGTATAACGATTAGTATTTAGCCCTTTAAGAGTGTCCCAAAATTGTTTAGAATCGCGTATACAATGTTCAAGTTTTTCCTGTTTCTCTTTGAAAAAATTCGTTTTTCTTTTCTCTGCATACACTATTATATTTATATATCGAAACATGACGTGAACGTAAAATCGGTCTGTTATTACCTTAAGTTGTTGTAATAAAATTATGACAAGTACGTGAAAAGATAGAACAAATATCGGAGAGTACAGCGATATCAAACTTTCAGTCACAAACTCAACTCAAATCCAAGAGTCTGAAAATGATTTATGAAGGAGGTGTTCTTGGGCGAGATATATAGGGTCATGTTTTGTCTGTAAGGACCCCACACGCGCCTTTCGGGTGAAACCGCTACCAGCAACTTCATTAACCCGCTTTAGCGCTTCCGCTGTCTCACTATACCCTTACCGTGACTCAAGCTCCAATATGCACTCGACTGACCTATCCGCATGGGTCAAAGGCAAACTGACACGCTGTGAAGTCAATCACATGCATGCGCAATTCTTGGTTTATTTCACGATGCTTCCCTTTTGAGAGTGTGTATTGTGAATTCGCGCCAACTTCTGCAACGCAGATATGACATGACATGATCAAGCCACATCTGTCGCGCGCGATACAATCACCTAGTCGCCTTGCCGAGAATACCACGTTCAGCGATAGCCAAATCAGACAAAAAGAGCGCCCGTGATTTCTATAGTGCGTTTCTCCATGTTGCGCACAGTTTGTATCGGTCGAGAGGAGGATGGGGCCACACAACCAATACACGACCTGGGAAACAATACAGTTTACTAGGCGTATCGCCTGGTGCCAGTTTCCGCGCTATAGCGCTACCGTTGTCTCGCTATACCGTTACCGTGACTCGCGCACCAGTGTGACCCCATTTACCCCTCCCCATTGCTATTAGGGAAGCAGATAGACTATATCGTCAAGGTGTGTATTGCCAAATGGGGTCAGACAGTAAGCGCACGACCTTGCATTAGTGCTGGGAATTCAACTTTCAGAGATAACCGAATCAGCATGTTGACATGTGATTTCTATAGTCCGTTTCTGCAAACGTTAACTTCTGGCCTTAGGCAGTAAGACTCTGCTGACATCCGTAAACCATAGCGATAGAACACAGTTGCAGTTCACCAGGAAACAGTGCTCAACAATCACATCATAGACCTCACGGGGTCGGTATTAATTCAAGAAATAAGTATGCCTTTCGGAGAAGGCCCTTCCGAGCACGTTCATTACTATTCTGAGTTGATTGAAATGCTGTGAACGGGGCTTATGCCGAAATTTTACTGCATCTTCTTTCACTCCTATCTTAAAAAATATATTTATATAGTCCGTTTCTGCTTGCGTTGTTTACCCGCAGTATGTACACTCTATTTCACTGAGACTGACAAGTGATCTCGGTAGTCGATAGCGGATAAACACATTCGCAGTTCGCTGAAAATTATACACAAAGACCACGTACTTGTTTATGAAATCCACAAACCTACACCACAGGTTTACAGACAATACTATAGCATATAGCGAGAAGAGCAAGGACGCTTCTTTCAGTGTCTTTACTGAACAAGTTTGAAGTGTCGTAAAATATCATTGTTTTCCCCACAAAATGACATTCGCAGTTAGATCACAGTTTGGTGTATTGGGATTTTGTGAATGCATTTCAATATCGAACTGCATATATACTAAAGAGTGCCTAGTCTGACAGTTATTGGACGGTCTGGTGAGGTACAATAGGTTAAAGTATGTTGTTATAGATGAATTCTGTTTCATTTTTCTTTCCGTAGCCTTCAATTCTATGTCGCTAGAATTAAACATGGCCATGGACAAGCCCAGTGTATACAAACACACGAAATTTGGTTGAAATCGGACCAGTAGTAACTAAGCTATAGGTGTTTAGAGTTCTGATATATTGCACGTTTATGGACGTTTGCCAAAGAGTTCCCTCTTCAACACGCTGTCCCTTCGTTGTCCTTGGAGCTAGAGTCAAAGGGATTAGTGTTCTGAGCTTGTGAGGATCCCAGGGACCTGTCGCATTACTTAGATGCTAAAATGCATGTCGAAAAGCCCTCTGCTAATTTGCATAGAGACAACGTCTGAGAAGTTTTGAAGTCTTTGCTCAAAAATTGTGAGAAGAGATAGTTCGGCGGCCAAGTGGTGAGAAAAGTGCTAAAATGCATGTCGAAAGGCTTCAATCCAATATGGCTGTCAAACGGTGCGTTTTAGCGACATTGGCGGTCGAGGCAAAATTGATGGGCATCTCATTGCGCTGCCGCATGCCAAATTTGGTAGTCATTGGACCTTTAGTTTCGGAGATATTTGCTGCTGAAATTGAAATTTTAAAAATTGTTTTGAGTTGTCTGCTCTTTGCCATTGGGCCTATGACCTTGGGCTTTTGCTGGGCACTGCGTCACATTGGTGCCAATGTTGCTGTCGATTTTGAAGCGATTCTGCCCACTGGTTCTCTTTGTAGCTCTGGTACAAAAAACGGCGGAATAATAAATAATAATAATATTTGCGATTACAATAGGGCTTCTGCTTTGCAGGCACGAAGCCCTAAATATATCTCCAACTCTCCTCTCCCCCATGGCAGTTGGTACAGCCAGAGGTTGACCTGTCATTAACTAAAATTAAGAAATCAGAAACAAACCAGCTAATCTATCAACAAGAATATATTGAATTGCGGAGCACATGTTATACAGACGGATCCAAGGATGGTGACGCGGTTGCTAGCGTCATTGGATCCAGAATTATGTCTTCATGACTACCAGATCACAGTTCTATTTTTACAGCCGAATCCCATGCAATTTTAACAGCTCTAAAATATATTAGTAAACAAACTAAGCATAAGCAATTCATATTATTATTACAGCCAGAGGTTGACCTGTCATTAACTAAACTTAAGAAATCAGAAACAAACCAACTAATCTATCAACAAGAATTTAATGAATTGCGGAACACATATAACAAATCTATATTTACAGACGGATCCAAGGATGGTGACGCGGTTGCTAGCGCCACCGTGGTTGGATCTAGGGTTATGTCTTTACGACTTCCCGATAATAGTTCTATTTGCACAGCCGAATCCCATGCAATTTTAACAGCTCTAAAATATATTGGTAAACAAACTAGTCATAAGCAATTTATATTATTTTCGGTCTCCCTCCCGTGTCTTCAGGCTATTAAAAATATATCATGTAAGCATCCACTTTTAATTGAAATTATTGAGTTATATAATAAACTTGCTACTGGCCAATATGACATCGTTTTTTGTTGGATACCCAGCCATGTTGGAATCATTGGTAACACAAAGGCCGATGCTGCTGCCAAGGCAGCACTCAACAAATCTGTGACACCACTTCTGATTCCATACACTGATTATAAACCCGTAATTAGATCTTACATCTGTGATCTAATGCAAAAGAAGTGGGACACTCAAGTAGGTATAAATAAATTACATGAAATTAAACCAACTTTTGGTTACAGCTACTTGGGTTGCCAGTCGAGATTGGAAGAGGTCATAATACGACGATGTCGTATTGGCCATAGCAGGTATACAAATGAGTATTTATTGAAAGGTGAGGATCCTCCATTTTGTATCCCTTGTGACGAGAGAATCACAGTCAAGCATGTCCTGCTTGATTGTTCTGATTTTGCCATCACAAGGGATAAATATTTCAAATCGTCATATATTAAGGATCTTTTTAACAGTATCCATTCTCGTTTAATCATTGGTTTTTTAAAGGAAATAGAGTTGTTTGCAAAATTTTGATTGTCTTGTAAAATATAAATGTTTTATGATTGGTAGATTAAATTAGCAACTGGGATTGTTAGTGGCTGTATCCTCGAGGGGGGTTAAAGTACTGTAAAATGATTGTCCTCCTGAGAGGTTACGTAAGTTCCACTTCTTTCAAGGTAAATTTACAACTACCGTGTTTTTAATCGTAGAATATGTGTCATTTTAAAATGTTAGGCTAACTCTGCCAATAATCGCCAAGGCCTGAAGGGATGATGTAAATCCTGCTGGGGTCCATGCAGGTAGCAAAGGTACTGTAAGTCCCAATGGTCCCCAGTAGGGTGATCTACCTTCAGTGGCTGGCGATCTATAGCCCGTTTTTATCATGTTATTGTTAGGTATAAGTGTTATCCTTTTATATGATTCCATACTAGTTTTAAAATCTTTTTCTGTGATAAGTCTAGTAATTTTACTGTCCTTCGTTGGCAGGTTTTTGTATAAGTTTTAATTGTATTTATAAGATTTAACCCTTGATAGTCACGATATGGCTGAAATATTGCCGATGTGACTTTAAATTTAATCACTCACTCACTCAGCTGACAGGTTTTGGCCTTGTGTGGGAGCACCAATGTATTACGAATATCCCCATGTTTATAAATGAATTTCTATATGGATTATAATTTTCATATGAACAAGACTGGGATGCAGCGCTTTCAGAAAGCTCAAAATCATATAACTATTCGTTAATATATATGGAAATATATATTAGTATGTTACCACAAGAGAAATTTCGACATGCTCTGGCTAGATTACGGTGTTGTTCCCATCATCTTCGGATCCAATCTGGCACAAAGCGGAACCTAGAGTGGAACGAGTTTGCAAAGTATGTTAATACAATTATGTTGAAGATGAGTACCATTCTAATATGCAAAAGTTACCAGATTTTGAAGGCAGAATTTATACCAAAAAATATTTTGAAATCTCAACAAGGCAAAAGTTCAACATCCTAATGCCATCTGTCCATCGAGCAACTGCACAATGTCTTTCTTTGTTAATTGTTAAAGCCATGTATCTAAGACAATCGCTGTTAAATATATAAATATGATCCTTTCACTGTACCTTTACCGTTTGTATCATATCATAAGATAAAATAGTTGATCAATGTGTTCCTATGTCCTCTGCCAATCCACACATCCGCAAACATGGTTCAATGATACTTGCAAACAAGCTAGGAAGGCACGGAAGAAAGCTGAAAAGTATTTCCGTCACCATCCTATGGTACATAATTTAAATCAGTTCAAAATCGTAAATGCTAAAGCGTGGCGTACGTTTAAGCAAAATAAACGTATGTCTTGGCAAGCTTACGTTTCCAAAATAAATTCACCTAAGCCCATGTCGAAGGTATGGAACATGATTAAAAAGATCAAAGGTAAGGGATCGAAATCTGGTATCCAACATTTTCAAATGGGAAGGAATTATTAACTGCTAAGACAGATATTGCTAATAAACTGGGTGAAACTTTGGCAAAACATTCTTCCTCATCCAATTATATACCCCAATTCCAAAACTACCAAAAACAACAGGAAAAGATATTAATTTTAATTCAGACAATGGGGAAGATTACAATGAAATATTTTCTATTCATGAACTACATACTGCCCTCAGCTCACGATAGTGTTACTGGAGCTGATAACATACATTATCAACTCCTGAGGCACTTATCAGAATCATGTTTACAGTCACTGTTAAATTTTTTTAAATGAAATTTGGACGTCAGGACGATTTCCACCGTCTTGACGAGATACCATTGTTGTTCCAATACCTAAACCAGGAGGTGATCACACAGATTAATCAAATTATCGACCAATCTCACACACAAGCTGCGTTTACAAAACCATGGAACGCATGTTTGGTACTTAGAATCCAATAGTCTCATTACAAATATACAATGCGGTTTCCGTGAGAACAGAAGTACTATCGATCATTTAGTACGTTTAGAATAATTTGTGATTGAAAAAATTACTTAATGAACAAACAACATGTCGTGCCTATCTTTTTTATCTCGAAAAAGCATATGACACTACATGGAAACATGGTATTTTAAAAGATTTACATAACTTTGGATTGCGAGGTCGTTTGCCTCAGTTTATATCCAACTTTTTAACGGACAGACAATTTCAAGTCCGTGTAGGTTCTACCCTATCTGATCATTATAATCAGCATCAGGGTGTCCCACAAGGCAGTATTTTGTCTGTCACATCATTTAGCATTAAAAGTAATAGCTTATCGAAAGTTTTAAATGTTTCAATTAATAGATCACTTTTTGTGGATGATTTTAATAATTCCCGTCGTGGCAAAAACATGCATACGATCGAAAGGCAACTGCAGCTATGTTTGAACAAAATCCAGAAATGTTCTTGGAAAATGGATTTAAATTCTCAAAATCAAAATCAAACTGCATTCATTTTTGTAGAAAATATAAACTGCAAAAAGATCCGGAACTTATTTTAGATAACACTCCTAATGAAGTTGTAAAAGAAGTCAAGTTGCTGGGTATCATTTTCGATCATCATTTGGCTTTTCTAGCTCACATTCAATATTTGAAGAATAAATGTCTGAAGGCCCCGGACTTACTGAAAGTTGTCCCAAGCTCTAAGTGGGGAGGAGATCCGAAAACCCTCCTACTGTAAAGAGCACTTATCCGCTCCAAACTATATGGCTCCATCATTTATGGTGGAGCTTGTAAAAGCAATTAAAAAATTCTAGATCCTATTCACCATCAAGCACTGAGGCTTTGCCCTAGAACCTTCCGAAATTTGTCGATACAAAGTCTGCATGTGGAGGCGGATGAGCCGTCCCTTTATCAAGGTCGCATTAAAGTATCTTTGCAGTATGTATCTAAATTACGTTCTTCGAAATCCAATCCAGCTTATGATAACGAAAATCTCTACCAAACAAAATCATCTCTTATTCCACCTCTTGGCTAAGAATACAATCTCATACTTCTGCTGCGCAATCAAATCTTGATAACATTGCCCCCACTCAGCTTTTCTCTTCTCCACCATGGTAGTTTGTAAAGCCAGAGGTGGACCTGACATTAACTAAACTTAAGAAATTTGACACAAATCAACTAATTTATCAACAACAATATAATGAATTACGAAGCACATATGATACTTACAAATCTATATTTACATCCAAAGATAATTGACGCAGTTGCCAGCGCCACTGTCATTGGAGTGAGTGAGTGAGTTAAGATTTAACGTCACATCGGCAGTATTTCAGCCATATCGTGACGAGAAGTACATTAATAATACACATATTTAGACAATATAAAAAGCTGTCAACGATGGACAGTACAATAACTAGAATAACACATAGTCTATTTAAAACTAGTATTAGTAATAGTATAAGTATTAGTGAACAACACAATATAAAAATGGGCTAGAGATCGTCAGTAACTATAGGGAGATCACCATACCAGGGACCATGGGGACTTACAGTGCCTTTGCTTCCTGCATGGACCCTGGCTGGATTTATATCATCCCTTCAGTCACTGGCGATAGTATACCAGTTAAGCCTTATGTTAAAATGACAAAAATACTACGTTTTAAAATTCCGGTATGCATAACAATACATTGAATGATGTGGGACTGACATACCCTCTTAGGGGACAATAATTTTACGCTACTTCAACCCCCCTCGAGGGCACTGTCATTGGATCTCATCCCCATTACAAGACAAGTATGAAATACTCACATCCCCCGCCAATATGACATGTCGGGTTGTGTCCAATGCATTAGCTCCTGTAAACTATGAGCACTGGGCCTTTTTGTAAATGGCCTAATTGCAGCACTAACAAAAGTTACTGCTGGTGTTGTTTTTCCATCTGCAGTTGCCATGGAAACTCGAAAAATAACTTTTTTTAAAATCCGAAACTACCAAAAGGCACCAGTTCACCACTAGATCTATCTATGTGCCAAGTGTGGTAAAGAAATATGGTACGGTTTTCACGATCTGCTCCGGAAACGAGGACTTACGCCATTTTCAGTCTAAATCAAAGTCGTTGCCATGGAAACTCGAATTTTTTTTTTTTTTTCAATCCTAAACTATCAAAAGGCGCCAGTTCATCACTAGATCTCTCTATGTGCCAAGTATGGTGAAGACATATAATACGGTTTTCAAGATCTGCTCCGGAAACAAGGACTAACGCCATTTTCAGTCTAAATCAAAGTCGTTGACATGGAAACTCGAACAAATAACTTTTTTTAAGAATCCCAAACTATCAAAAGGCACCAGTTCACCACTAGATCTATCTATGTGCTAAGTTTGGTGAAGAAATATGGTACGGTTTTCAAGATCTGCTCCGGAAACGAGGACTACTGCCATTTTCAGTCTAAATCAAAGTCGTTGACATGGAAACGCGAAAAATATAAAAAAAAAATTAAATCCCAAAACTATCAAAAGGCACCAGTTCACCACTAGACCTATCTATGTGCCAAGTATGACGAAGAAATATGGTTCGGTTTTCAAGATCTGCTCCGGAAACGAGGACTACTGCCATTTTCAGTCTAAATCAAAGTCGGTGCCATGGAAACTCGAACAAATAACTTTTTTTTAAATCACCAACTATCAAAAGGCACCAGTTCACCACTAGACCTATCTATGTGCCAAGAATGACGAAGAAATATGGTACGGTTTTCAAGATCTTCTCCGGAAACGAGGACTACTGCCATTTTCAGTCTAAATCAAAGTCGTTGCCATGGAAACTCCAAAAAAAAATTGGACGGAAAAATCCCCAACTATCAAAAGGCACCAGTTCACCACTAGATCTATCTATGTGCCAAGTTTGGTGAAGAAATATGGTACGGTTTTCAAGATCTTCTCCGGAAACGAGGACTACTGCCATTTTCAGTCTAAATCAAAGTCGTTGACATGGAAACGCGAATTTTTTAATTTTTTTAAATCCCAAACTATCAAAAGGCACCAGTTCACCACTAGACCTATCAATGTGCAAAATATGGTGAAGAAAAATGGTACGGTTTTCAAGGTCTGCTCCGGAAACGAGGACTCTTGTCATTTTCAGTCTAAATCAAAGTCGGTGCCATGGAAACACGAACAAATAACTTTTTTTAAGAATCCCGGACTTTCAAAAGGCACCAGTTCACCACTAGATCTATCTATGTGCCAAGTTTGGTGAAGAAATACGGTACGGTTTTCAAGATCTCCTCCGGAAACGAGGACTAACGCCATTTTCAGTCTAAATCAAAGTCGTTGCCATGGAAACTCCAAAAAAAAATTGGGTGGAAAAATCCTAAACTATCAAAAGGCACCAGTTCACCACTAGATCTATCTATGTGCCAAGTTTGGTGAAGAAATATGGTACGGTTTTCAAGATCTTCTCCGGAAACTAGGACTACTGCGATTTTCAGTCTAAATCAAAGTCGTTGACATGGAAACGCGAAAAATATTAATTTTTGTAAATCCCAAACTATCAAAAGGCACCAGTTCACCACTAGACCTATCAATGTGCAAAATATGGTGAAGAAAAATGGTAAGGTTTTCAAGATCTCCTCCGGAAACGAGGACTACTCTCATTTTCAGTCTAAATCAAAGTCGGTGCCTATGGAAACTCGAACAAATAACTTTTTTTAAGAAACCCAAACTATCAAAAGGCACCAGTTCACCACTAGATCTATCTATGTGTCAAGTTTGGCGAAGAAATATGGTACGGTTTTCAAGATCTCCGGAGAAAACGAGGACTAACACCATTTTCAGTCTAAATCAAAGTCGATGACATGGAAACTCAAAAAATAACTTTTTTAAAATTTCCAAACTATCAAAAGGCACCAGTTCACCA